TAACTCAATTTATGATTAAAAATAATTCTACTATCAAATCACCGGACTTATTGTTAAAGATAATATTTTCCTATTCTTTTTCAATTTCAAATGTACCTGCTAAAATAAGCTCATAAATTGTAACCACACAAATACTCATTTATCAAACAGCAGGCATCGTTCTGGTTCAAACCAATACAGATGGATCTGTTATCAGTAATCCCAACAACGCTGGCTGTGGAGGCCTCTTCAGGGACAATCAAGGGCATTGGATTATGGGGTTCATACGCAATATTGGCCATACTACGGCTCTTGCTGCGGAATTATATGCTATTAGGGACGGTCTTAACATTGCTGTCAATCATTACTTTAATTCTGTTATTGTGGAAACTGACTGTCAATTTACTCATTTTCTTTTGTTTGATGTTCCCAACGTGTTCCACCCTTATAGCACCCTTATTTGGATTGCAAGGCCCTTTTGCACATGATCCCCAGGTTCAAGTGAAGAATATTCTGGGGGAGGCGAACATGGCTGCTGATGCTCTCACAAAAAAGGGGGTTTTAGCTCCCCATGGTTTAAATATTCTGTATGAATGTCCGCCAGAAGTGGATCTTTTGTGTATGGCTGATTATGTAGGGGCTAACTACCCCAGACCTTAGTTTCTTTTAATGCTATTCCTTTTATCACAAAAAAATAAAAAATAAAAAATACAGCAGGCATCGTTTTGGGTCAAGATAACTTATGAAATTTTTAGGACTTCCCTTTACACGGCACTGAGGAAACGTTTCGCTAATTTTACATCTTAATTGGCACTCCGGGAGAATGCAAAAAACCAAAACCATTACCTCTCACAAATCACAAAGAAATGAATACCAATACTTTTTCTCTAAAAACGGGCTACAATCTTTACAGACCAAAACTATTTTTTGGTAATTCAAAACTTCCATAATTTTATGTAGGACAAAAGTTGTTTATCTTCACACAAACGTTACATTGTACAAAGCAGAACTAAGGATTACACAAATCAACACCTCTATGATACAAGGACGCCCACAAAGATTTTAATATCATATAATATATATATCTCACCATTACATTTAGGGGACCTCCTGTTCTCTTGAAAGAGAAAAAATATTAGACCTAAAACGAGGAATATCAAAAATTATAAAAACAACTAATGAGGAAGAATACCCATCACTACCAAGTACCAACCCATGAGAAAAAACCACCACAAGCTGTGCTCCTACCTGCCCGTGGCTTCATTTACAAAGCATACAGATCCCAGACTGCAACTTTTAACTCATGATGATTGTATGTAACACCTACCCGCCTCCTCCAATCCCAATCTCAAACTTTCATCTTCATCATCTCAAGGCCTACTGTGTGGTCAAAACTGGCGACAGGCAAAATGTCATAAAGCCTTTGAAAACAAGAGAGAACACAAGGTTCGGAAATTCCAGTATATGGCATCATGCTCTATACAGAACACCAGAAATCCCAGGTGGTAGCATGAGCCTGGAATGAGTGTATAGGAATTAGTAGGATCTATCTATCATATCCAAGCAAGAGAGCCCCGGTCAGTTGTTGATTGAGGACGACCTCTAGTAGGTGTAGGAGGCCTATTTGCATTCAGCTCCTGGACCCATTAAACACATAAGATGAGCAATCTTAATATGGAAACCAAAAACTGCATAGAAAAGTAAACAGAAAAAGACTCCAGCAGTCGAGCAAAAGGTAAACTTATATTACCTGCATCCATGTATCCTCTGTGTGGCGTTCTGGTGATGTTTCTGGTGATGAAATTGCTGGTGGTAAAGGATGAATGAGTTTTGGTACCACAACAAGATCTCTTCCCAAAACTAAGATTGCACCAGCATTATTCGCTGTGCCTGGACAAGGAACAAAAACCAAAATTTAAAACAAAATAATATGAGGACCTCATAATCCACAAGGACACTCAAGCAATGGTCAACACAAACCGCAATAATTGGTAGCTGAAAAAAGTGTGATAAGATGTCCCTGAGCAAAACGCTCAAAGCCATCCATCACACATTCATGGGCACGGACAATCAACTGAAGATCATTGTTATTGCAGAATTCCATAACACGATCAGGCTGCACAAAGAAAACGAATAATGAGCATAAAATCCAAACCTGCATTCAAAGCATAAAAAGGTGCCAAATTGCTCCTTGAAAACAGAATTGCACCCAAAAAAATAATAATAATAAATGAAAAGGATAACAAAGATTGGTTCTGAAATCAACATCTTAATTAGAAACTTCTGTTACTCTCCACAAGAATGAAGATATAGCACTTTTAACTAAATCTTAAAAACCACGAGTTAGGAAAAGAAAAAGGTAAAGCAATTTCAGTAAGACAACAAGCAATCAAAACAAAAATTAATTTTGCAAAATGTATTGAATTTAGAACACCACTCCCTGAAACAACGAAGTTCTATTTTGTTCTGAACATATTGAATATTCACTTGTTGACGGTACTAAAGAAAAATTAGGTGCTCAGGAACTGATCTAATTTCAGTTATCATTGACAACATTCTATTGTGTTCTAAACAAGGTGAGCATTCAACGGATAATATATATAAAAAATAAAAAAAATTAGATCAGTACTCTAAAAGGAGCAATAAATGAGTTGGCAAATGTCAACTAAAAGGAGTAAGATGGAACAATGCTCACCCCAAATGTAACCAACCCTGGACCTCTAGCATTTGGCCGTAAACCTTCTACACTGTCATTTTCTGTTGGATCAGACCTAAAGAAGAATCATGGTGTCAATGACAAATAACACATACATAGAATATTTTAAGATCCAAAAATTAACAGTCAACATGCTCTGACCATAATAGATCCATAAGCACAATTGATCCTGCTTCCATTGTAATAGGACGCTGTATATTCTCAATTTGTTCCACATGATTTATTGACCGACCAATACCACCATGCATACAAATGATTTTCTTTTCAATTAGAGCAGCCAAAGGAAGCCAATTAAATAGACGGTTTATCCGATGCCATGCCCATATTCCATCTCTTTCACCCTGTCCAACATTCGATCAGATTTATGGCTGAAAAGACATACAAGAAAGAACAGACATTTTTCTAATGCACATAATACAATACCATGCGTTCTATGCACTCAATCCTAAAGCCAAAAAGTGCATTTATATCAGCAGCTTCATGGTTCCCACGAATTAAATGTACATTATGAGGATACTCAACCTGGAAAACCAGTAAAAATCTATTAAAAAAAAAAAAAAAAAAAAAAAAAAGAGGAAGAAAAAAGGGGAAAGAAATCCAGAACACTCCAAGAGCAAAAGTGATCATCACAGAGATTGGTTGAGAAACAATGAAATACAAGTACCTTCAAAGCAAGAAGAAGAGTGATCGTCTCCAAGCTGTGTTGGCCCCGGTCCACATAATCTCCTAGGAAGAGATAATCAATATATCTGACAGGAATATACAAAAATTAGCACCATGGCAACAAAATATCTGCCTAGGTACACAAAAAGGGAACCTTCACCACACATAGTAGCCAAATGTAGGAAGCAATCAATAAAAATTCTTTTGCAGCATCAGCCTGTCAAATGGTAAAAGCTTATGAATACCCAGTTTGATTTTTAAAGTTTCTCTTATCTCTTTTATTTCTTCTTTTGTGCTGATTAATTCTCTCAAAAATTTGTCAAATTTTATTTGTGCAACCTACCCTTGTTTCTCATCAAGAGAACTGCAATTGGAATAATTTTAGATTTTGAATCATTCCCTAAATGCCAAATCCCTGAATAGATCTGACACTGGTGCTGAATTTAAGACCCAGAAGAGAACAGAATGCAGTCTAATCTACATCAGAAATTCAGTTGAAAAACAATTTATTAACCAAAACACTTACGCAATGTCCCCAGCTGTTGAAGGTGCACCATACTCATCAAAAAGGCGCATGAGATCCCCAAACTGCCCATGTAGATCACCAAATATTTTAATAGGAGCTTTCAGCTGTAAAACAGTTGGTTCACTTGAAAATATCCGCTCAGCGCTGTCACAAAGATCTGCTATTTCATTACAATCTAAGAAAAATTGTCGGCGAACTGGAGGCTTCCAACCACGAGGCTTCAAAAGATGTGCAATTACCTGGTAAAGTGAGGTAAATTGACACTCCATCATGATGGAAAAAATATATATATTCAACCTAAAAAGAAAAGTATTTCTAAGTAGGTAATATATAAGATTACATTCAATTATGTATAGCAAAATAAAATGGTTTTAAAACTAGATTGGTCAATGAACCATGTTTCAAACCAAATAAAAGCCAAAGGTAAAGGGTCAAGAGGCTAAACCATGGTTCAACCCATATGATCATCATAATCATATTAATGGATAAATAATTAAATATTACTTAAATACCAAATTGCAAAATCAACTTGCAAGTCCTATATTAATTTTTAAGGAATGATAATAAGATGGCATTGATAAAATGCAATATTTTACCCATATCATCACATACAATTAAGCAATCCTTACTTTTTTTGGCACACTATTGATAGACATCTGCCGATCTAATAGTTTCCTTGCTGCACTTGCACTCTCTGGTGTCCCATAGCTGACCCGTCTGCCTTCATTTTCAAACTGATCAATTGAAAGTTGTCTGACCATGCCACCTAGAGCCCCACCAGTCTCTGCAGCTACTACAACCTGCCAAGGTGCAACCATATGTAAGATAACCTCATATCTGAACTAACAAGTAGTCCAACAATTTCATTTCAAATTGAAAATGAAAAATCAAGAAGCTATAGCAACACTGACAGCTCTGTGATGCAGCCTAACTCCAGCTGAAGCAACATTATTTGATCCAGCAGAATCAGGCATCTTAATCAAGGTAGACATTTGTTTCCCACTAGGTGTAGCATCTGCTTCGCCATTCCTTTCTGGCTGTTCCACTTCACCATTAACCTGCCGTGCCTTGGCAGCAGCCCAGGTAGCACTAATAGCTTCAGCCTCTGCAGCCGATGCTTCAACCAAAGACTCAACACCTTTGGTTATTCGCCTAAATGATTAATACATTTAGCATCCTTTTGGATGAATTGATGAAGCAATATCATTACCATACAGGCAACACAGAACAAGAGAAGTTAGCTCACCGGGATCCTTGGAGCATAGCATTTTCAGTGCTTATATCCGTATATATGTCCCCATTTACCGGAGGAGCAACTGGATTAGCCAGCACAACCGCCCCATCTTGCACTGCTTCAGACATAGTCTGGCTTGTTCTTTCATCAACAAATCCATACCTTCCAGGTAACCGACCTGCCTGAACATTAGATGCAGCAGCTGCAGCTGCAGCATGTGAAGCTGCAGATGTTGTCTCAGCAGCTGCCAGATCCTCAGCAACTAGGAGGTCATCAAGCAATACACCTACATGATGAGCACAGCACCTTATCTTCATCATTATTAATTTTATCAAATATCAATCCTGAAATTGGCTAGGAGATTAACAATTCCTAACTCTTTTATCTATTAAAAGAACAAAACATCAAAAAGACCACAAAAACAGAGATTTTAAAATCTTTTGAAAGAATGATATCCATGGTTGATATCCTACAAAATAAAATACTCTTTCTAGGGTCTCACACAACCAGCAATTGAAAATAACCTTTCACAAAAAAGAAAAGGTGTGCGGTTTAGTTATGAGTTATATTGGTACAATGTACCAAGAACAAAGGTAAACTTGGACCACATATTTACTCCTTAAGAACATCTAATTTTAATCTTTTCAAGCAAGGCAGCATGCAGCCCTCCAACATTATCATCCAGACCAAGTTGTATTTCGAATATCAGAAATTTTACAAAACACCAATTTAAGGCACTTTTGACAAGCATAAACCTAGGTGACTCGTGAATCATCAATAAATGGAGCTGATCAAGTTATTTTATGGCACTACAGCATCTTGTGACCAAGTTTTACCTCACACTGCTTACAAATCAAACAATAGGATCAATAAAATACTAATTCATGAAACAAGAACATCCTTCTCAAAACATGTCAGAAACAAGGCTAAATTTTGGGGCAGCATGTCATGCTAGATTATGATCATAAAATCAGATCCATGTGTAACTTTTCTTAAATATCAAAACTCATAAAGGTTATATGCAATTAATTGGATTTGAGACAATATGATGGGGAAAAAATATGGCAAAACAAATTTCATATCAGAAAACATAGTATTTGTCTTACCACCACGTAAACCACCATAAATAAATATTAAGTCACCAACAGCAGCAGCTGCATGCCTGCAACGCCTTGTCAACTCAACAGAAGCATCTCCACCAGCAGCATCAGCACTGTATCTCCCTGTCCTTGGACTGGTAACAACAGATTTGGTATCACACCAAACTCCAGCTGCAGTATCCAACACTACAGAGAAGAAAACAAGAACCATATAAAATAGATGATGAATGCAAGGAAAATAGATGAATGAAATCTCAATATTAAAATCAAATCAGATCTCACTTTATTGTAGTAATTTGCACCAGCAACAAGAGTAAAGCCACACAACTTTCAAGCAAATAATAACTCCACAACTTTCTAATAAACTGTAACATCAGTTACCTGCAACACTTGATGAGTCTTCCACCATGCGCCCACCCCCCAGTGCCCCACCAGATACATGAAGGCGGGCATTGACAAAGACCTAGAAACACGGCATAGGCAAGCAATTGAGTTACTAAATAGAAATCAAAGATTCAACTAAAAGGAAAAAAATGGATGTAAAACCCACTGCTGCATGTTGATATCTTGGTGATGGTGAGACGCCTGGAGCAATTGCCCACTCCCAGCGACCATCCCTATGTTTTGCCAGCCCATATGCGCTTGCCAATGGCTGAAAGATTTACAAGAAACAACAAACAATAAGTGGCTTAACCAAACTTGAGACGATAACTGACATGAGATTCACTAATTAATTCAAGAGGCAGGGGAAAGCAGAATCATTTACAGTTCTAGCAGCACAGACACTAATTTTCAGAATCAATATTCCCAGGATGCTCACACACATCATATTACAAGTTGAATCCTCAAAGTTAACAAAAAGAACTGCATTGACTTCATTGCTAACAATAAGTTAGAATTGAGAAGCATGCAAACCTGGATTGACAAACATCTAAAGATTTTTATACCAAACTTTTAAACACAATACTTGTTTAAAAACTTAATTCATCATTAACCCACCCCCAGTTGGTAAAGGGAAACCCTAGCCTCAAAAATAAAAATTACTCACCACACTACTTGCATCCCTCCCTCCACAAAGTAGAAGAAGACCATCAGAGCGTGCGCTTGCAGTAGCATACCTGGATAATCAAAATTGATCAAATTAGGGTACAATCCATAGCCTCAGTGGACAAATGAAAGTAAATGAAAATTTTAGAGAAAATAATAAAAGACAAGTTTGCATAAGATAGCATCAGCATGAGAACAGACAGAGGAGAGAGAGATTACATGCATGGTGGTGGACCCTCGCCTTCTGGTTCTAATTTACGCCATTCATATGGTTTTGCAGCTGTGTCCAGGGCCCACACATCAGCCAAAGGCCGCTTCCCTACAAAGCAAAGCAAGCACCAATATTTTAAAAGAATAATAGAATTAAACCCACAGCATATATTTTCTTGAAAAATATAAAAAGAAAAACTAAATGGTATTCCATTCACTTACCATCATTGCCACCAATTGCCATGAGATACCTTTGCCCAACCAAAGCCATAACATGCCCATAGCGAGGCCCTGGTCCAGGGCCTTGAACAACAACCCTAGAGAAGAGTTAATATCCATATTAATAATTAAATTCAATAGCTACCATAAAGGAAACCATGTGCTTCCTTCAAAGATCTAACCTATGCCACCGAGGCCGTTGCTGGGTGAGGTCGAGAACATGAAGATCCTCAGCAGACAGGCCAGCTGGTCCAATTCCACCCTGAGTTGAAATAAAAGGTTCTAGTGAGAAAACAATAGCTCTTTGCAAAGGAAGAAAATTTTACTTCTATATATATATAAAGGGAGAAAAGAAGAAGAAGAAGAAGAAGAAGAAATGAATATGGCCCGTAGAGCTAACCTGAATAACTACCATAGTTCCTACAGCAGTCGCTACATGTGCGGCCCTTGGTGTAGGTGGTTCCCCAAAGGGTATGATCCTGTAAAAATAGCTAAATTATGAGAAAAAAATAACAAACAAAATGTTATCAGATTGGGACAGTAACTGTGACCCATTATCCAGGGCTTACCTAGACCATTTATTGGTTAATACATCATAACAATGAACATCAGCGGTAGCACCTGCTAGTCCTGCAATTTAAAGTTAACATAGTGGCCACAATATGTTAAGACCAGACTAGTAGACAACATTAAATCTCCATTCAGCATTATCACATTGATGCATTAGTATCCAGTCAACATAAGCAAGTTTTACACTATACACCAAAAAATAATCTAGCATATTTGAACTTTAAAGCATTTATGGTAGTTTCCCCATTACCAGCAGAAAAGACACTTGAAGAAGCTTGAACCACAGCAACAAAAAGACCAAAACAGAGCCGTTGATTTCAATCCAAGAAAACTAGTTTTCATTGACAACTTCAAATAGAGGAATGGTGTTTGACTTCAATCTGAAAAAAACTATCTTTTTGGCAGGATTTGGCTTCAGGAAACTAGGTCACACATGTCACTCACAAATACTGACTTCAGTTCAAAAGATGGTCAACTGAAGGGCAAGTTCTGCAAACCAAATAAGATGATATAAAACAAAGGCCCTATCAAGGATATGCAACCAAACCACCAATACT